AGTAGACAAGTATATATATCTAGGACAACTCGTACAGACAAGCACATCTAGTGAACAGGAAATAAAGCGTCGAATCAGTATAAAGGCTGGAGTGCCTTCGGCAGACACAGTAACACTCTAAGAGGTTCCTTGCCATTGTGCTTGAAAAGAAAAGTCTTTAACCAATGCGTCCTCCCAGTTATGACCTATGGGTCAGAAACATGGACTACAACCAGATTACTGGAGAGGAAACTAGTAAGTGCCCAGAGAGGGATGGAAAGATCGATGATGGGAATTAGCCTGAGAGATCGGAAGAGGGCGACGTGGATCAGAGAACAGACGAAGGTAGAAGATTTACTCGGGACCATTAAAGATAAGAAATGGCAATGGGCAGGGCATGTATGTCGGAAACAAGACAACAGATGGACAAAGAAAGTAACAGACTGGACTATAAATAACTTAAGGAGGCCAAGAGCCAGACCAATGACACGATGGCGCGACGAAATAGCGAAATTTGGGGCCAGGACTGGAAACAAACATCGCAAGACAGGAAAACCTGAAAAAGTCTGGGAGAGGCCTACGTCTTGCAATGGATTGACTCAGGCTGATGATGATGATGATGTATGTGTATATATATATATATATATATATATATATATATATATATATATATATATATATATATATATATATATATATATATATATATATATATATATATATATATATATATATATATATTTATATATATGTGTGTGTATGTGTGTGTATATATATATATATATATATATATATATATATATATATATATATATATATATATATATATATACACACATATTCATATATCTGCCCATATATGTATAGACATATATATATATATATATATATATATATATATATATATATATATATATATATATATATATATGTCTATACATATATGTGCATATATATGAATATGTGTATATATATATATATATATATATATATATATATATATATATATATATATGTGTGTGTGTGTGTGTGTGTGTGTGTGTGTGTGTGTGTGTGTGTGTGTGTGTGTGTGTGTGTGTGTGCGTATGTATATGCATATACAATAAATTTAGTACCCAGGGAATAATTTGCCCATGTGAAATAAGAAACAAAACCATTGTCAGAGATCTTTGAAAACCGCGGGTTGGGGAAGTCTAAGTTATCTCTTAGAAGTTGAAATGGATGGACCTCCACTTGGCGCTTAGAGAGACCGCTACTTTGATTTTATTTGGTTATGTAATGCAAGCAGTTACTTTTAATAGTTTATTTTTAAAAATTACACGTTTCCAGATAATTTGAAACTTACCGAGTCTGCACAAACTGTTTCTCCTTCTTATACTCGTGGGCAAAAAGCAGGCATGACAACTTATCACACATGTATAAAGGTAAATTAATCTACTTTCCAAGCAAAAATTAAAAAAAATCGTCAGTTTAAGCTTTAATGATTTTTTTAAAATCCTTCACATTGCATAAGATCTTTAATAAAAAAAGAAACTGACATTGATTTAAATAAATAGATTATAAAACTTAAAAAATAGCTTGATCCTGTTTACACTCATTATACTTTCTTTCTGGTAGAAAGTAATAAATTCAGGCTGAAGTATGTTGCTTTTCGGTTATCCCGTTTAAAAACAATTCGATATCAGGAAATGCAAACTAGACACTTTAGCAATTCAAGAAACTCAAAAAGAAAAAGAAAGGAAAAAGGGAAAAAAGAAAAGAAAAAAGAAGAGAAAAAAGAAAACGAAAAGAGAAAAAATTGCTTTTAGACAAATACGATTTTCACTTCACCTAGTTACCCATCTAAATGGAATTATATACTACACGTTACAAACATTCACAAACTTCCCATACTAGTTTTACAAAAGTGCAAATAACCGAAATAATATCTATTGAAGCAACACTAGCAGCTAAAAAAAAATCAGGCATTCTCGTTATTAAAATCAACAAAGAACTTTTTTTTTCATTATCAAGCGCAAAATTACAGAAACCCTGAAATATTAAAGAATAACTTTTAATCCTTTGAGAAAATAGAAAAAAGTAATTTATTCATTATTTCTTGCAGCTGACAGGGCTTTACATGCAATCTCCGCTTGATTTGCAAGCAGTTCAACTTCAGATAATTCTTTATTCAAAGTCTTCAGCTGATGACGCCTCTCTTTCATCTGTTCATTATGCTGAAAAATAAAATCAGAAAAAAATATTAAAAGCGATAATTTCGATTCTGAGAAAAAAAATATGAAAAGTAAAATATCTAAGACCTATGTAACATTAAACAACATAAAATTTAAAATATGCAATATGAGAAACCTAACGCAGAGTATAATCCTGTCTAAGCATATATATACAATAGCAATATTAGGTACAAACAAAATGAATAAACATGAAACAACAAAGTCATAAAAGAGAACAGGATTTCCACTACGAAAACATATCCACAAATCAAAATATATTATTCAACTTACACGAACTTGATTTTTTT